AGAACAGTTCAACACGGTGTACTGAAACTATTAAATCCAAACCGTTTAAAACGACTTCACTCTTTGCAGGTCCTTGACTGATATCTAAGTTACTACCAGTTGGCATTTTCTGCAGGACTTTGAAAAATTGCGCTCTCTCTTTCTCTCTTTTTTAAGATGACTAATAGCCAACACAGACTCCCCCCCCCCCAAAAAAAAGGTGACATTTCCAAATGTACATCTTCTGATCTTCACTTTAATTTACAAGCAAACCTGAAACAGATGGAGGGAGCCTGCAGGCCCCATAATAAAATACAGTCTCCCTCTGCTGGTCATTGCCAATGAAGGCATCCAGGTATTGTGCAGAAACTTGTTTTTAAACATCAACAATAATTTGTTTCTGTGCGGTCCCCAGGCAAAAATTTGAGTGCAATGTTAATGGAACGTCTTATGCCTCTTAGTATGAAGGTTTCTTTGCAAAAGAAACTTTTGTGTTCCTAATGAAGCGCGTTCTCATCTCCAAATGCTCACACTGTAGATCATTCCACCTTTAAGGTGCCGCAGAAGGCTTTGTGTTCAATGCCACAGGCGAACAGAGCCAACCTCTCAAATTCGCCATGTAAAATGAGCCTCAAGTTTGGTCTTTGCAGAAAAGATTGAGTTGCATCCTAAATAAATATTTGATTTATTTGATGCACTGACACATGGAACCTGAACCGAGGGAGCAAGTGAAGGTCAGCGGTGATTTATCAGTTCCGCTGCCTTCAAAGAAAGACATCCTTCTCTTTTCTGCTCCACAGGAAAGAGGCATTTCATTGTTTACAGAGGAAATGAGCGGAGGCACCTCTGCTTAGATTACAAACGGCAGCCTCCACTGACACACAAGCCTACATTATTTTTGCAGATGCTTCCAGGAGGATTCATCCCACGGATTATGGTGCTTGCTCAGTCCATAGCCCATTAGCATTTTGGACCCCTTCAGGACAAAGTCCAAATGCAGTAGGTCGAATATAGCCGCTCAGGTGAGTCTGCTGGGTTTTGCTTCTAAGCATTCAAAAATGGCAGAAAAGACACCTCTGACCATATGCGGAGTGCATGCCTTCTGCGGGGCGAAATACTCAACTAAGCATAATCTTTCTTTTCAAGCATTTCTTAGAACATATCAGTGGGTGAGGACAGGACAGTCCTCTGCCTGCACCAATACCCATCAGCAGGGCTAAGGGTCAGGAATGATGGGACCTGTAATACAGCCCCCAGAAGACCAGAGCCGCCCCCCCCCCAGTTCCCAACACATTCCAGACCTTTTCAGAAACTTGCACATACTTTCAGCAATATAGGATAGACATTTCATTGGGGGACGTGCCACTCTAGAAAAAGATTTTCCTCTTTTCTGGCATGATCTGAGAATTTATGAGAAGTACAGTTCTAGAGACCAAGAGGGATGGGTTCCTGGTTTGCTGGTTTCTGTCCTTTGAAACTGGGGCAGGAATGTGCAGTCTTGGTCCAGCATCAAACCAAAGTGAGTGTATGAGAATCTTTTTGATCCCCTCCTCTTGGGCTCCCCCCGCCCCCCCCAAGGCGCCCTCCTTTTTCAGTTTGTTTTCGGGCACAAACAGAAGCCGCCCCATTGACATCTGTGCTCCCGCCTCGACAAAGCCTCCTTTGTCCTCTCCGGAGAGGGGCGGGCTGGACAGGAGAGGTTTGCAAGTTGGGAAAAGAAAGGTCCCCGCCAGAGCCAGCCAAGGGGTCAGGCGTTTCTCAGACCTCTCTCTGTCCCAAGATGGCATTGATTTTCCCCTCCGCAGTGGGCAGCAGGCCTTTCGTTGCCTTCCCCCATCCCAGACACGCAGGAACAAAAGGGGAAAAGTGGCTTCAACCCCCCTGCTTGCACCCAAGTCAAGAGGATGTGTGCATGAGCGCATTCCTCCCTCCCCCAATAGCAATAGTGCCGAGACATTCCACATGGATTTCCAGCAACAGGGGCCCAAGTTATGGAAAACGCTCCATAGCTTCAGACCACAGAGATGGGTTTTAGCGTCTCCAACAGTTTTCAATACGCAATTTTGATTTATTGTCACTGTCCTATCCTTGTTCATAATTTCTCTTATGTTGTTCTCAACTTCTTTCACCTCTGGGGACTGAAAGGTCCTCTACTGGTTGAATAAGTACTTCCAAGTATGAATTTTAAGGACGAACCAGAGACGGCCTGTGAAAAATTTCAGAGATTTCTCAGAGCTGCATTGCTCTGCTTGCTTTGAGTTGCGTTGTTAGCGATCCTGAGTGCTAGGTTTAGCAGAAAGGCAGGATTTTTTTGAAAGTAATAAACACTATCTCACAGACATATACTGTAGACATACCTCTTTAAAAATGGGATGGGAAGTTATATTTTTGGAACAGAGGGCAGTGATCATCTGGGTTTGCGCTTGCTTCCAGCCAAAACTGCAGAGTTGCACAAGAATGGATACTTACCAATACGACCCAACATTCCAAACCATATTAGTAGAGAATTCAGGTGTTCAAGCCCTCACTAGATGGCCCCCAGGCCAGAGGTGGCCTCACTAGGCTTCCCGTCCGATTTCTAGGTGGAGCTAGGAAAGATCCCTGGCAGAAACCTTGGACGCTTGCAGCTTGCCCTTCAGAGTAGACACCGCTGGGCTAGATGTACAATGTTCTGACTCAAAAAAAGCAGATTATTGTGCTCCCTCCGGCAAGAACATTTTGTGGGTTTCAGCCAAGCCAAACAGTGCTTTCTCAAAGCTCCATTTTGTCACCTCCTTGGGAGAAAAACATTCCCATGTCTATTTGGGCATGTCTATCCATTCCTCTTAATTCTGACCGTTCTTTGAATCAGACAAAGAAGAGGAAGTTTTTCTTCCCTTCCAGGTTCTCCTTGGCTTTTTTGTGCAACCCTTTTTCTACAGAAGGAACACTTTTTGCAATAGCTGATAACAATCCTTCACTCCAAACCAAAACTCTGCCTGAATTCTCTTTGGGAGCAAAAAATGATCAAACTGAGGTTGTTACATTTTGGGCACATCACAAGAAGACAAGATTCCTTGGCCAAGGCAATAAAGCTGGGAAAAGCTGGCAGCAGCAGGAAAAGAGGAAGACAAAACGTGAGGCAGATCGACTCAGTAAAGGAAGCCGTGGCTTTGAGTCTCCAACACGTAAGCAGGGCCGTTGGTAAGAGGAGCTTTAAGAGGAGGATCCTCTCAAAGGCTGAACTGCAGGTGCGCACAGGTAAGAATGCTCTCCTTCGTGGCACAAACATCTGCAGTTGCTAATTTCTACAAAAGCATTTCGTAGCACAGATCATGGAGGTGAACACCGATACCTGATGCCGAGAGCGACAGAGCAAAGGGCAGTGAACAGGATAGCAACCTGAAAAGTTTCTCATCTTATAAAAATGATTTCTCCTTCCTCCTCCAGGTCTCTCTTCTGAGTTTTTTCTTCTTTGTATTCCTTCCCACTGATGAGTTTCAGAACTTTCAAGACACCGACTCAATTCATCAGTCTTTTATCACTAGGGAACACTGCCACCTCTGAGAGAAAGAGAGCTCTCGTTAACTCCGGGTTGCCTCCTTCCCCAATAACGTCCTAAAGGGAGCGAAGCTCTTCCCAGACCGTTGACCCATGAGCTTGATTCAAGCAAATCCTACATTAGGCATGCAGCCCTTCACAAACATGGGTGTGCGTGAGCGCGTGCAGAGCATGGAAAAGTTATTTTTTGGACTAGCCGCAGGCCCATCAGCCGTGTTTTCCAAAAGTGCGCATCTGCAGGCAGGTTGTAGAAGACTTGAGCAAAAGAGAAAGCAACACCGTGCCCCAGCTGGCAGATCTTTCAATAGTTACTTTATTTTAACATATTTTCGTTTAATTACAGACAGTAAAATAGCTCATAGGTAGGAGGGCAAGTGGAAAGGGGATCCTGGATGTATAAAAACCCTCCATGGTCAGCATGGAAAAAACAACATCCAAAGTGCTTCTGGAATATTCGCTGGTTTCTCTTCTTTTCGGCCACAGAAGGAGGGGGGAAAGCAGCCTCGTTTCATTTTTTTTTGGGGGGGGGCGGAAGGAATTGACATCTCCTCCTTGCCGGGCAAAAAGGGAGAATGGAAGGGGCCTCAAAGCTCTAGGGACAAAGGGGCAGGATTGGGGAGAGGTGAAATCTAGCTCTAAAAACAGCCACCCTGTTTCCACGTCTCAGTACAAAGGTTTTTTTTTGGCACAGACAGATGCCAAGAAGCTGGATTCTAGCCCCTCCATGCTTTCTGCTGCTTCCGCGGATAGTCACACAGAAGGCTGGCCCAGCTCGTCTCGACTGCCGGGTTGAATTGGTGCTGCCCTTTGTCAGAATCCAGTCACACAGAAGGCTGGCCCAGCTCGTCTTGACTGCTGGGTTGAATGTGTGCTGCCCTTTGTCAGAATCCCCCTCTCTTTCTTTCTTTCTCTCTCTCTCAGTTCCCAAGAAGGTTAGTTGACCTGGACTTTCCAAAGAGGCCTAAGAGGAACATCCTCGGGATGAGGTGAGCTCCCCGCATGGCAGGCAAGAGAAGGGACTCAGGAGGATCCCTCACTCGGGACAACCAGGAAGAGAGATGCCCGAGGCCTGCAGGTCTGAGAGAGCCATGACGCCTACACCAGAAGAGTAACACCACTAAGCTGTGGGTTAGAGGTCTGCAAGAGACACACACACATACACCAAGCTGCAAAGCTGGGGTGCAGAAAGCCACAGGGCGGCCCAAGACCTATCCCCTTCCATCCCCTCACCCTCTCCTTCTGTCTCCCCACCTCCACTCAAAACTGCTGCTGAAAAACTGGGGCGCTCCAGCAGTGCCCGCCTACTTGGTCTCCTGCGGAGGGCATGAAGACAGAGAGGGGCATGGGAAACGGCAGTCAAAAACAGGCCAACTGCAGGCCAAACTCTGCCCGTGAATGAGCCCCCCGGGGATCCTGCTGGCCATCTAATCCTGCACAGCAGAGATTAATTTATAGGGTGTGTGTGCAGAAGCGGTCAAGGCAGCTCTAATGGGCCTCATGCCCACACACACACCCCAAGCTCTGAAAATTCATCGGTTCTTGGGTCGACGAGACCAGCTGTGAACATGCTGGGTGCCAGCAACCAGGCATGCATGCATGTGGGAGGGGAGAATGGGGGGGGGAGAACCCTGCCAGATAGTGAGGTGCTGGCTAGGGGCTGAGAGGCCTCCCCGCTCCTCAGGTCCATGGGATGGCAGAACCAGATTTCCTATGGGAGAGGCAAAACGCTTAGGAGACAACACAGATGGGACACAGGATGAGGCCCTCCGCCCAATATTTGTTTCTTGGGACTTGCCCTTTGTCTTTTAACAGAGCTTCTAAATGCTACCTTTTCTGGAGTAGAGCCCAAGAGACCTTCCACCCGACCCCTCCGTGCTGCCTAGGGAATTCTCAAGAGTTGCCCTCCAAAAACATGAATACTTCTCAGCTCTGCTTTTGATTAGGTAGGCTCAGAATGTGCCAAAGCGAGACGGTGGCTCTCGTGCCGCCACCTGCCGCCTTCTAAGAGGACAGGCGTCAACGCGGGCCAGCCGACAGACCCCCCCATCTGCCTTCCTTCTGCCCTCCAGACTTTGCACGGGAAGGCCGAATCTGGGCAAGCGGAGAAGCAGAAGAAGAGTTTCTGAAAGGAAGCAAGCAAGCCAATTCATAGGGAATAAATACAATCAGTCCTTTCAAACACTCTGGCTGCCGTTTTCTCCTGTGCGTGCGTGCACGGCGTGAGCAAGGAGAGAGAAAAGGGGCCGCGCTGAATCGGTCCCTGCCTTTAGGGGTAAGGGGCGGTGGGACATGGGCAATCTCGCCCCTGCAGCTCAGGTTTACAGGCCCCCTTTCCTCCTGGTCCCTGCCCAAAACATAACCTCTGCGTTGCAGTGAAGGCGGATGTTGGAAGAATTTGTTAAAAAAAAAAAAACCGAAAAAAACCCCCCACAAACAAATGAAGAAACGGAACCGTGGGTCGTTTGCCTAGCGCATGGGCTTCCAGACAGGAAGGAGGAAGGGAGGGGCCAGCAGAGGCGACGGGCCGCTTTGTTACATCATTCCCAACTGCAGCAGCGAATTGGCATACATCATTGGCTTGACATTCGGATGAGGCTGAGGAAGAAGGAAGAGACCCCGGAGTTAGTGCCGGCGTCGTCGTGCTGGGCTTCGAAAGAAGGCCCACGCAGAGGGCGAGAGGCTGCACGGAGGGGAACCGGGGCAGGAAGGCGTCCGGGGCCTCTGGGTCTCCACGCCTCCGATGAAGGGCTAAAAGTGCTCAA